ATACAAAATTAATATACAGATATCAGTTGCATTTTTATAAGCCAATAATCAACTAATAGAAAAGGAAATTAAGAGAACAATCCCATTCACAATTGCTTCAAAAAGAATAAAATACCTAAGAATAAATTGAACCAAGGATGTAAAAGACCTGTCCTCAGAAAATTATAAGACACTGAAGAGAGAAATTGAGGAAGATACAAATAAGTGGAAGCACATACCATGTTCATGGATAGAAAGAATTAACATCATTCATGTCAATGCTGCCCAAAGTATTCTATAGATTCAATGCAATTCCTATGAAGATTCCAGTGACATATTTCAAAGAACTAGAATAAATATTTCAAAAATTTGTATGGTACCACAAAGGCCCTGTATAGCAACAGCAAATCTGAGAAAGAAGAACAAAGTTGGAAGAATCACGCTATGTCATATCAAGCTATATTATACGGCCATAGTAATCAAAACAGCATGGTATTGGCATAAAAACACACACATAGAGCCATAAAATTGAATAGAGAACCCCGAAATAAATCCATACCTTTTTAGTTAATTAATATTTGACAGAGGAAGCAAGTACATATAATGGGCTAAATATAGTTTATTCAATAAATGGTGTTGAGAAAATTGGACAGATATATGCAGAAAATGAAACTAGACCACCTTCTTACACCACACACAAGAACAAATTTGAAATAGATTAAAGACTTAAATGTTAGACCTGAAACTATAAAAATCCTAGAATAAAACACAGGCAGTGAAATCTCTGTCATTGCTCATAGCATTATTTTATTAGCTATATCTTCCCAGGCAAGGGAAACAAAAGAAAAAATAAACAAATGGGACTAAATCAAACTAAAAAGTTTTTGCACAGCCAAAGAAACCATCAACAAAATAAAAATATAACCCATGGATTAGGAGACCATATTTACTAATACATCTGATAAGGGGTTAATATCCAAAATTTATAAAGAACTTCCAAAATTCAGCACCAAAAAACACAAACAATCTGATTAAAAAATGGGCAAAGGACCTAAATAGATAATTCCCCAAAGAGGACATACAGATGGCCAATAGACATATGAAAAGGTGCTCAACATCACCAATCATCAAAGAAATGCAAATTAAAACCCCAATGAACTATCATCTCACACCTGTCAGAATGGCTATCATCAATAAATTAAGAAACAACAAGTGCTGGTGAGGATAGGGAGAAAAGGGGACCCTTGTACACTGTTGGTGGGAATGCAGATTGGTGCATCCTCTGTGGAAAGCTGTATGGAAATATGTCAAAAAATTCAAAATAGATCTTTCTTTTGACCCAGTGATTCTACTTCTGGAAATATACTCATAGGAACCCAAAACACTAATTTCAAAGAACATAAGAACGCTTATATTCATTGCAGCATTATTTATAACTCCAAGATATGGAAGCATCCCAAGTGTCCATCAGTAGATGAGTGGATAAAACAACTATAGAATATTTATACAATGGAATAGAACTCTGTTGTAAAAAAGAAGAAAAGCTTACCCTTTGTGAGAACATGGGTGGACATGGAGAACATTATGCTAAGTGAAATAAGCCAGTCAGAGGAAGACAATTACCATATGATTTCACTCATATGTGGAATTTAATGAAGAAACTGAACTAACATGGAAAACAGAAACAGCTTGATAGATAAAGAGCAGGCTGTCAGCTATGGTGGGGTAGGTTACGGGGTGGAGGAATCGAGCAAAAAGAAGAAAGGGTTCATGGACATGAACAACAGTGTGGTGATTGTGGGGGGAAGAAAGCAAAAGGGGCTTTCATAAGAAAATATTCAGTAGGGTATTTCCCAAATGTTAGAGATAAAAACAAGAATCGAGCCCAATCAAAAAACATGGAGCTGATAGTATAACAATGGAAACAAGAGTCAAATCATTGCTTTCAGATATTCAACAAATATGCTGGACCACCATGAACCAACAAGCTTAGTAAATATAGTGGTCAGAATAAGGACAAAGAAAGATAAATAACAATGAGGTGAGATAGAATGTCCTAAAATATTTTTAATGTATTTAAGGGATAAATGAGTATTTTTTAAACCCCATCAAAAAGTATGTGCCAAGATATTTTTAAAAATTTCTTTTAATCTTGCCCTGGTTGCCAGCCTCTGATTCTTTCTCTTAAAAAAATATTGGTTATAAATGGCTATAAAAATATTGGTTTATATTCCTTCATTGGCATTGGTTATAAATGCCAATGAAGGAATATAAAGCAGGGAAAGGGGGACAAAACATGATGTCATTTATGGCACTTTAAACAAAAGAGGCTCTTATAATATACACATAAGTGTCCCATCCCACACATATTCCAGAAAATACCTGCCTCTATTCATATCCTTGTTTATTGCTGCTGTTGTTAATTCAGTGTTACTTTCTGATCGATATCAGACTGAATTATTTTATAATTGTTGTGTCTTAACTGGATAGCAAAATTCCTGAAAGCACAAACTTCTGCCTGGTCTTGTCTTGAGTGTTACATGAGATGGGATCAACTTACGTATTTTAAATACTTAAAGAATTTCAATGATTACTACACACTGAGGAGAAATGTTCCATGAGAACACATTAACACAATGAAATTCTTTGACTTAACATTGAACTCTTTAATGTCTGAAATTAGTTTTATGATTTGGGTAGAATATTTCATGCCTTGTGACAAATACCCTGCAGCAGTTTGGCTTGGCATTTGTGGCTTGCTTTTATAAATTCAACCTTCTCCATTGGTTTAGTCTCTGCTTGTTTTCTTAAAAGCTATAATTCTGCGTCCCTTTCTTCACTTTAATTGCCTAGCCCAGAGCTAGAGTACAGCATCCCCAAAACTACCTCTTGATATTATCTTTAAGGCACAAATTGAGTCTCATATCCTTAGCCTGATCCCATGATTCCATGATGGTCTTTCACTGACTTTTAACTTCATTTCTTCTTTTATTCAACAAGTATTTATTGAATGCCTGCTATAGGACAGACATTATTCTTAGTCTTAAGGAGCCTATATTTGAGCATGGGGACACAGATAGTAAACAAATACTGTATACAGTGGCAGGTGGTTATAAATGCCAGTGAAGGAATATAAAGCAGGGAAAGGGGGACCAAACATGATGTCATCATGGGCAGAGGGTGCTTACATGGGTGATAAGAGGAGGCCATACTCCAAGGAGACGTTATTAGAGCAGTGTTCAAAAGAGTGTAGGAGACGCAGGAAATTCAAGATAAAGTATTCTGGTGAAAGACTTGTCAAGGCCTATATTAGCTATCTACCGCTGCAAAACAAGTTATCCCAAAACTAGATGACTTAAAATTACAATAAATATCTATTATCTCACAGTTTTTGGGCCAGGAATTTGAAAGTGACTTAACTGGATGGTTTAGGCTCAAGGTTTCTTAAAAAATTGCAGTTAAGGTGTTAGTTAAGATATCAGATAGGGCTTGGAAGGCTTGGCATGGGCTGGAGGATCCAATTCTAAAAAAGTTCAGGAACATGATACTGGTTGTTGGCATGAGGCCTCAGTAGCTCTCCACATGGATCTCTCCAAAGGCTGCCCAAGTGTCCTCATGACACAGTGGCTGGCTGGCTTCTCCCAGAGCAAATAGTCTAAGATGGGGCAAGGTAGAAGCCACATGTTTTATGTGTCCTAGCTCAGAAGCCACACACCATTATCTCTGCAAAATCCAATTGTTTGACATATGGATAGAGAGGGGAAAAAAAGGTTCCATGGAAAGTAACCTCACAGGGTTATCTGATCATAAATTCCTAATAGGGCAGGTCATGCTGAGTAGTGAGTCACACCCCAGGCATATAACATTTTAGTAAAAGGTTTATTTTTGCCTTAAGCAAGCCTTTCTATTATTTATGTGCATATAGATTAACATAACTTTGAAATAAGCATCCTCAAGAGAGCACATAACATTCTCTATCTTGTAATCCAATCCCATGCCTTGCTTTCTCCCACCGCCATGTAAACTTCCTTAATTTCAATGTATAGAAGACACAATACTGTTATTATCTGAAGTATTTGAGATCATATTCCTCAGCATGAATTCAGTTTGGCTCAAACAAACTCATAAAAATTCTGCACAGATTTGGATATTTCTTAAATTAACACACAGTTCAACCCTATTCAGTGTAGGAGCAGGCTATATAAAGAGATACATACCATGAGATGGGGCTCATTGGGGATCCTCCTGGAGGCTGGCCATCACAAGGCTCTAATAAGGAAAATGGTTGGTAAGTTCAAGGAACATGAAGAAGCACAGTGGACTTACAGTAGAATTATGAGGAGGAGCATAGAAGAGGCAAAGTCTGAGGGGACCAGGAAGTCAAGTCATGTTGGACTTTACAGGCCAAAGTAGGGACTTCCAGTTGTCACTGAGTAAGAGGAAAAGCTATTGGAAGGTGGCAGGGTAATTTATTGAGTAACTAAATTCTGTACATTCTTCCAACATTTCCCCTTCCTCCCTCATCCATTCTCTGTCTCTGAGCTTATGTTGGGAAGAAAGCAGAAATAGCCTAGATTAAGGAATCCTTCAGGGCTGGTAGAAACCTAATCCCTAGAGCTGAAGAACTTTGAAACGGTTTCTGCCAGGTTTCCTTGAGGAAAAGGGGAGGAAATACTACTTTAAGAAGTCCCAGGCTGGGAGAAAATGTTTGCAGAGGCACTGGAAGCCATTTGCAATCCTGGGCCCTGGCTTTGCTCCCTTGCAAACTGGTATAGGATGGAAATGGCTTTGTAGGCACCTGGGAGGAGAGAATGAAGCAGAAATGCCTCAGGACACAAGTGCGGTTTGTGAGGTAAATGAATAAACAATAACTATTGTGGCACCATGCTAGCCCCGGGACCTTTGCACAGATCTTTTTAGGAGCTAGGTCCCCAAAGTCATTGAAGCTGAATTTCTCAGCAGTCTGGTAGGAGATAGGCTCATAGTAATTAGCAAGTTGAATTAAAGGAATGTTATAGTCTGTGCTCACTTTAGCAGCACATATATTAAAAAAAAAATAATTGGAACAGATAAAATTAGAATGACCCCTGAGCAAGGATGATATGCAAATTCATAAAGCATCCTATTAAAAAAGGGAAATATAATATTCTTAGTCACCTCATTTTGTGTGCTGATATTAACTCATAACATACAGCTAATGTGTTTTTATCTAATTTCATCACTGTTAATGTTTGCTGATTGGGCTGAGATAAAGTTCTTGGCTTACCTTTAAACATATCACATTGGCACAGACATTTTGAATCCAGCTAGATTCCCACAAGAGTAATTTACCTCTTTGCCTACATTGTCATAATGAGATGCCTCCTCTGCCATTCTTTTTCATGGCAGCTGAGTCTCTTTCTTTAACTTGGGCTTCCAGCTGCAATTACTGCAGATGTTACCAGATTGAAGGGGTCATTTGCCTGTGTCCATCAAAGCTCTATAAGACACAAAGAGGAGTTTGAAGCCAGGAAAGTAAAAATGTATTAAGGAGATGGCACCATGCCTAGAGCCACAAGTAGTTCATGCTCAAAGACCTGGCTCCCCGATGGCTTTCAGAGGATGGGTTATATAGGAGAAAAAACTCATTAATCATGGTGACTAAGGAGTTAGGGTTATCGTCTCTACTGACTGGTTGGTGCTAGAGTAGAGGGTAATTGATCATCATTTCTGGTCAGCCATAGAGTTGTTTTGTCCAACTTCACCAGACTTTGTTTTGTGGGATTATTCCTCTTTGATGGGTCTTGAACTAAAACACAACTGAGGCCAAAATATTGTCTTTAGTTTTATTGAAAACTCTGTTTCTATAGTCAATAAACCCAGGACCTTGTTCATAAGACTACTGGATGCTGACCAGAACCTGATTGTCCTGAGGGTTTAATGATTAAGTAAGGGAGAGGGAGGTGGGTGAGTCAGGGCACTGGGTGAAACCAGTCTGAGTCAAGGGAAAAAGTCAAGAGAAAGGGTAAGTTAAAGAAGTAAGGTTTCTGTGCCATTACGTAGACATCTATCTAAAAATGACAACTTAAAACAAAATGCAGAACTCTTGCTTACAGAAAGCCATCTTTGCCAAAATTTCATGTTAGATGGCCATACCCACTCTAGAGGGGCATTCCTGGGTCCATGGATGGAGCATTGGTTGCTATACCCTGTTGCAGTTATATCATGGTCTCTGGCTGGCCAGTGATAGCAGAAGCTCAGAGTACATTGGTGATGGCAGCTAAGAAAGTGGTGGTTGCTTTCATGGGTCATTGCATGTTCTAGGAAATATTTTCCATGTTTATACTGGTGAAGGTTATTGAAGTTGAGCTGCCTGGATTCACTACTGCTGATGACTGACTGATATTTGGGAAGAGGAGCTTGATGGTTGTTAAGTCTGGCAAGAACTTTCAGAGATATTGATGGAAGAGTGAAAGAAACAAGTGGCTGGATTGTCTTATATGACATAAGAACCTGTGTGTTCTTTGTTGCAGGTTGTATTCCCAGAAAAAACAGTGGGAATCTGAGATTTTCATGTAGGAAGTTTGTGGTGGGAGGGGCTGCTCTTAGTATAACACCAATGCATGAGTGAGGGAAACTGGAATAAGCAGAGGGAAAAAATAAATTATTATCCAATCACAATAAAGACTTCAACTGTTCACTTAAGGAGCACTGGACCTATAGATTATCCTGACTGAGACAAGGGCATCTTCATTGTCATCATCCTCCCACCCCATTTTTAGGTGAAGGTTGCCTCCAGGGCAGTGGCCTTGGATGAGACAGCTCTCTGCTGAGTCAACTAAGAGCCTTCTGTACTCCCAGTAGCTAGACAAATGAGGGCTGTGTTCTTGAGAATATAGTGCAGGGAGAAGGGAGATATGGATCTTGCAGCACACAACTACATCCACCACAGTCTTTTTCATGTTAGAAAAAACCAACAGGAGATGTTTATTATAAGTTTAGGAAATTAGACAGCCCAGAAGATAAAGGAGACCTCTAGGCAGTTGATGTACTGACCATGTGTAAACATAACATCATTCAGGACTCAACAATGATTGTATCGCCCAGTAAGCTTGTGGCCACCTCAGAAGCAGACACATTGCTCCTACTCTTGTGACTCCAAGAGAATTGCAATTTAGATTTTGTCTCTGTGTGTGCCTTTTTCTACTAGGCCTCTATTTCAACTGTTTACTCTTTTCACTTGTTTCAACTGCTCTTATTTTTGCACGCATGTATTCTTAAGAGAGAATCTATTTGGATCTATGAGTTGCCCTACAAAATAGATTGTCCCAGTTGGATTGATTTAGGGGCAGAGGTGCCTCAACCTATGAACTGGTTCCTTTGGTCAATGAATCAACATTTAATATCAGTAAAGACACACCAAATACATAGTACCAGAGAGGTCTATAGTGGTCTTTTCTTAAGGTGAGTGGGAAGCTTAACCTTTAATTTTTTATGTTTCTTGTTTTGGATAGTTTCAAATATCTATGAAAAATAGAATAATACAATGAACTTCTAGGTACCTATCATCCAGATCCAGCAATGATCAATGTATGGCTTATCCTGTTTCACCTATATCATTATCTCTTTCTTACCCCAATTATCATGAAGTAAATTCCAGACCATTCATCTATAAATACTTCTGTATGTACCTCTAAAAAAGAAAGCATATCTTTTCAAAAACATAACCACTGTGGTAGATTATATATAATTGACCCCAAGTTTTTACCACACCTTCCATTGAGAGCTGGAGTCTGACTCACTTCACCTTGAACCTCAGCCATGTTGACTTGCTTGACCAGAATGTGACAGAAGTATCATTCTGGCATTTTAAAGTTAAGTATTAACAAGCATTGAAGCTTCCATCTGGATCTGTTGAGACACACACATTCTCTGAGAGTCCTGAGCTTCCACGTGAAGCCTGACAACCCTAAAACAGCCACTGAAGAGGCCATACGTAGTGCTTTCCTTAAAAGTCTCAACTGAGCCCACGCTTTCATTCTTCTCTCCAAAGCATGAGACATATGAATGAAATCATTTTGGACCCTCTAGATTTTCCCATCTGCCAACTAAGTACCTCCAAGTGATTTCAGATGGTGCCACACAGAGCAGAAGAATCATACAATTGAAACTTGCTCAGATTCCTGACCCACAAGGTTTTGGGTTTGCTGTGTTTAGCCACTAACCTTGGGGTTATTTATGATGCTGAAACAGAAAAAAATGAAACAGTCACAAAAGCATTATCACTCCTAAAATAATTGAAATAATTCTTTAAAATATTAAATAGCCAGTGTTCAAATCACAAATAATCTTTATTGTCTCATAATTTTTTTAACATTTTGCTTCAACCTTGATCTAAGTGATGTCTATGCATAACAATTGATTTTTATTTCTCTAAAAATCTTTCAATCTATGTTTTCTCTTCTTTTTTCCCCAAATTATATTTTTAGAAAACTAGATTATTTGTCCTCAGATTTCCTACAATCTGGATTTCAGTATTGTTTAATATGTTCTCATATCATCTGTGTTTTCTGCCACCTGTGTTTTAGAGGCTTGATCAGTTTCAGGTTTGAATTCTTGCACAGCTGCTTCATAGGTGGTGTTGTATACTTCTCTCAGGAGATACATCATGTCAGGTTGTGTCTTGTTTTGTGATGTGAGTAGCAGTTGACAATCATTGCCCAGGTCCATTAATTAATTTGGAGTTAGCTATTACTATGTAAGAAAGGATCAAATAATTTCAGCAGCATATAATAAGTATTTATGTAACTTATTCACCATCACTTGCACCTCATTTTGTTGCCCAAAGCAAGTCATGTGGCCACATCCAAAGTTGAGGGGTGACAAAGTAGTGCAGCCTCCAGCGGTGGGCGAAGAGTGGGGCTCCAGGCCTAAACACTCTATGCAACCTTTCAGGACTAATCATAGGCAATTATAAGGCTTTGCCTGGCAGGCCTCTTGGGTAGCAGCTGTCATTCCCATGCCAGGCTCAGTAGTAGGTACATTACAGTCTCTGGAGTTGCAGTTAAGGACGCATGCCTCAACCAGCCATGCTCTCATACATGTCCACACTCCTCACCTAGGGGCCTCTAGAAGAGTTTTCTTTATTGGAAACCTCAGCAGAGGCTCTTTCCAGGCACATCCTCTAAGTTCTCTTTACTGGGGCCTTGGCTGAGGCATTTTTCTGCACTTTAACTCAGTACTTTTGTACTCTGAGCCTTTCCTTTCTCTCCCTCCTCGCAGTTCCTGTGTCCACATTCTACAAACTGGCAGGAGCTTTTTGTTCAGAGCTCATCTGAATAGAGGTGATTATCCCCATCAGCAATGCATCTACCACACCTTAATCCAGTATTGTTCCAGGGGAAAATGGAACACTAGTGAGCTGGTGGCTCTCTCTTTTGCCTTTGCCTGTATTGCTGAAGTGAGTAAATAAAACTTAATTGTTGTGCAACAGGAGGGCATTGCAGCATTACATAAAAAAGAATGTGGTTACTGGAAGTATTGTAGAATTGGGTCAATAATAGAATCTATCAGAGTGATATTTCATTCTTCTTCTTCTTTTATTAATTAGGCAGTATACTTCTATAAAAAGAAACATGCTAGTCTTTCAAAATAGATTCTTAGCATTTAGAAGTTTTAAAAAATTTTTAAAAATTAACTTATGGATTTCAAACATGTTTGGTCTGTCAAAGTTTATTGTAATTACTATTCTGATTTTGCTCAAATTCCCATATTTTGCTAGTAGAAATTTTGTAAAGTTGCTTCTGAATCTTTTTGACATGACCAAGCAATCTTTGATAGCTTCTTCCTTCTGGTATGGCAGTATGCTCCAGACCTGAAATTAGGCATTCAACACTTAATTTTATGGTATGGAGACAGACCTAGTGATGGAGGGTCAACTTAATTTTCAATGTGTCTGAAGAGTTTACTTTACTTGTTGAAAGATAAGTAATTTTGTTATGAAGGCAACTTAAATGAAATATTCTGTAAAAATTCAAATTGTTTAATATGGTGTGATTGTTTTCACTGAATTTCTGAAGGAAAGCCAAGCCATATTTAGAGAGGGATGACTTCAGAGAGAGTAATGGAAGAAGATCGCTGCCATGGGT